ATGAGGATCATATGCATATATAAAGGTACATGTCTATGATGAGGATCATATGCATATATAAAGGTACAGGTCTATGATGAGGATCATATGCATATATAAAGGTACATGTCTATGATGAGGATCATATGCATATATAAAGGTACATGTCTATGATGAGGATCATATGCATATATAAAGGTACATGATGAGGATCATATGCATGTATAAAGGGTACATGTCTATGATGAGGATCATATGCATATATAAAGGTACATGTCTATGATGAGGATCATATGCATTTATAAAGGTACATGTCTATGATGAGGATCATATGCATGTATAAAGGTACATGTCTATGATGAGGATCATATGCATACATAAAGGTACATGTCTATGATGAGGATCATATGCATGTATAAAGGTACATGTCTATGATGAGGATCATATGCATGTATAAAAGTACATGTCTATGATGAGGATCATATGCATACATAAAGGTACATGTCTATGATGAGGATCATATGCATGTATAAAGGTACATGTCTATGATGAGGATCATATGCATGTATAAAGGTACATGTCTATGATGAGGATCATATGCATGTATAAAGGTACATGTCTATGATGAGGATCATATGCATGTATAAAGGTACATGTCTATGATGAGGATCGGGGGCTGCGGGGATTACGAGTTGGATTCAGCAGATACGGGGAGGCATCGAAAAGCTCCAGTGATCACGGGGGCTGGTTGGACGCCGGAAGAAACAAACTGATGGAAACCCGGAGAACTGTGAGTACTGACCCCTCTTCTCTGGGTGGAGGGTCGCCGGGAGCGCCGACGTGCACCGTCTTACAGACAAATCCCGGGTGGAGTCTTTTGACGCTGAGTGTGTAGTGAATTGTGTGTGTGATAATAAATGTCCACGGTTTGTGTATCTGGGCTGTGTTTACATCCTCGGGCAGTATAGCAGCATATAGAAGTAGACACTCTTCATAAGGACCCTGACTAAGAGGACAAGGGAGAAGGGCTACTGCATGTGGGTAATAATATAGCTACTAATATAGTTTATAATATAGTTTAATCAAAGTGGCTTGTGGTTTCACACTCGTTGCTGTTGCCTCTCATATTTATTTTTCACGCATTGTTGTTGCTTCAGTGAACGCAGAGACACGCAAAGTCAACGTGTTCACATGTCTTCCACTAGGTGGCAGAATACGTGTATTTAAACCATAGATTTCATTATATTTAACTGTGTTTGTGTTATTGATCCAGGTTATTACACACGTATTTAATGCTGTTTATTCCATGTGATGTTTAGGGTTCATTTGCAACCATTGTTGTACACATCTTGTTATATTATATATATTTCATTTAAGAACCAAACGTACCTCCAAGAAGAGGCAATATTTGTTGATCACAATGTAATACATAACAAAAATGAAAAATAGACACCTGTGGTTTATTTCTATTAAACGTTAAGAATAATGAACCTACATCATTATTTGTCACACTTCATCATGACTCCAATGGTTAAACAGAGGAGGTCAGGATGAGAAGATCTAATGTTGCTCAAAGGCTCTAAAGAAAATTACTTCAGTTTACTGCCGTCAGATTTGTTACTATTTTAAAAACAGTGAGCCTTAAGTTATCTCAGTATGACGCTGGGAGGGGAAGATCACAGTATAGTCACTACAAAAATATAGATGATTAGATTATAGATGATAAATATAGACTACACCACTGGTCAGAGGTCACATTTATCCTGAGTACACTGTGATGTCCTTGATAGAGCAGCAACCAGGAGGCCCTCGTTACTCTGCAGGAGCTGCAAAGATCCACAGCTGACGATGGATTTAGAGATGTTAGTGAGTGAAGAACATAAAGCTACAGTATGTTAATAAATCAAATCAAAGTTTGCAATTTTCTAAAAAAAAGCAAAGAAATAAGACTAATAGGAACTAATAATAACTAACTAATATTCAATCTTTTTCTTCTTGATAAATTACTTTTTTAGAAGGAACAATCAGTCACTGGACTAATCATGGAATTAGTTCATTCTTGACCTTGAATTTCTCAGTGTGCTCTTCTATTCTAATGCTGTATGCAGCTCTTAAATGGACCTTTGCATTAGTCATTTATAGTAAATGATACATATTTACTGCTTGGTTTTTATAAGGTGTCTTAGCATCATAAAATAACCTGTTTCACAAGCTGAATATATCATCAGTGACAGTATCTGTTAAGGTTTCGGAAGCTCTCGAGGGAGGACTCAATCCTTTGTTCTCGTCCCGGCCGGAAACGAGGACACGAATGAGTCAATTCGTTTAAATTCAAAAATCAAAAAGTATTTAATGACTAAACAACATAATAGGGATTACAATTACAAAGTGAAATACTAAGCGAACAGTGGAATATTTCGCGAAATAGAGAATCCTCTGAGCAAGTCTGAAGTGACTTATCAACGCGGCTGCAGGAGAAGTTCTAACAGTCTTTTCCCCGCTTTGGTCCTTTGAAACCTCTTGAGGTGTGTCTTCCTTGGTGCATTTGAATGTCATTGGCTTCTTCTCCAAAGGGTCACCTCCTCCATTGTCCCCTTCACGTCGAGGTGTGAAGCTGCAGCTGTAACCTGAAACCTCTCTGTCCTAGCTGTCCCTCACACTCCAATGCACTCAATGTAGATACATTCGGCTTTATGCCCCAATGAGTGAATTTAACAAAGCATACATCGTTTAAGTCTTCATCTTATAACTAGTACACTTTCATTACAACAACCCATCACTAATGATCACCGTTCATCACACTTCATCATAAGATCTAAAACAGTTCATGTGGTTCAATTCTCAAGACATTTGCCTCAGTCGGCTGCCTTACATTAAGTTGTTCATTTTATTACCTGACAGGAGAAAAAACTCCCAAAAAACCCTTTTTGGGGATAAAATTGGGAGAAATCCATAAAGAACGGCAATTGGCATCCGTCCCCAGGTTTTAACATCACATTGTGAGAGAATGTTAATGTGTACAGTGTTTATATGATTTAAATGACTATGAATTGTGTTTGATTGAAATTGCATTCACTTCATCTAACATGTTAATGTAATAACTAATATCTAATAACACACAAACTATAATTCTAACACTAAACATTATTACACGTACTATAATTCCCTGACTAGGGGTGCACTTCTGGCTTAAATCCCTAACATATCTGTTGTGATATGGTATTATTATTATTAGTATTATTAGTGCTATAAAAGGCAATAAAAGTAAACTATTTGCTCCTCTGCTGAGCGTAAATACTCCGTCTGGATCGGCGGCTCTTCACCACCACGGCTCGTCTGACCTGTACGTGTGTTATTTATTCATTTCGTTATTTCTTTTTCTTTCTTTTATGTGAATGGTTTTAATAAAATAAAGTCTCTTTCTCTTTTCAAGTACGACTGCTGTGTGCACACGTTGGAGGTTTTCTGCAGGTTTATAATAATAAAAAACACCATGATGACCATCTTTTTGAGATACTACAAGATTATTTTTTTTTTACTTTTCTTGACATTTCTATGACTTTTTAACGTTTTAACTATTATATTACTTTTTTAAACAGGAGACCAGGAGTTTTTTAATAGTATTTTTCTACATATTTAACTTCATGTGCCTTTGAGCATCAAACACTGTATCCAGTTCTCTTTGCTGCAATCTCACAAAAAGATGCCAACAAATATTAACAGATTTAGCTTTTAAATATTCACTTAGTTTGGGATTTGTAAAGTATTGTATTTATTTCAAATATGGTGTCTCGTTCTGGGTCCCCACACTGGACTCTGGACCTGTGGAGCGGTTCAACAGATGAAGTTCACCGAGCAGGATGAAGTCCTCCCACATAGCAGGGGCCTCCACCCAGATCCCGGGACTTCCTCAGGAAATCTATTCAAGATCCAAACGGAAAGACGCTTCCACTCGAGCATTGTTCGCAGTGTCTGGACCTGTAGAACCAGGAGAGAAGATCCAAGGGACCCGACGTGAGAACATGATGCAAACACAACACTTCTTGTTATACTGGTTATAATTAAAGTATGTTGTATTTATCTCTTTTCAAAGGAGACCAGAGGGCTATTGCACCAGGATAAGGGATTAAGTCGGGATTTTCAGGTTATCCTGGATGAATTTAGCTTTGACTTGGTTGCACGAAGGCAGGTTGAATTAAACCCAGCCAAGCAACCATGGTATTTATCTCATTTACAAGATTTGCAGCATAATGAAAAGAGAGACTCCCAAAGCAGAAGGACAGGGAATATATCCTTTTATTTATTTCATAATTTTGGCGATGGCTGCCCTTTAGATTTGGTTTGAGCACCTGCCCCCCAGTCTGTGCACGTGCCTGCATCTCGCCATCCCACAGATGCTCTGTAAGGCACGGCGCTCTTTTGCAAGCGGCATGTTTTTATATGCTGAAACTGTAAATAAAGGCACTATTTGCCGTCCTGTGTGTGTTTGGCACTGAGGTCCTTGGCACACGTCTTTATTAGGAATCAGGAATCAGAAAACATTACCAAAATATGTCAAACATACAAGGAATTTGTCTTGGCGGTTGGTGCGCGACAGTAGACAGCGTGACAATAGACAACAAGACAGCAGTGCACAAGTAATAAAATAAAGTAAAATGAAAGGCTAGTGCAATGGGTTAGTAGAATAAGGCTATGGGTTAGTATAAAACAAGGGAAATGTAAAATATTAAAAAAGTTAAAAAATATTAAGCATAAAGTGCACTAGCGAACAAGTGACAAAGCGACGAGTGACGACAAAGCGATAAATTACAGTTAAAGTGACGTGTGCAGTGTGAAGGGGAGTGACCGACGGAGTGTTATAGTCACAGAAGAATGTGTTACATCAAAGAGGATTTCCACATATTCCGTATAAATGGGTGATTGTGTTTGATGTGCTGTAGAATGTAGCATGTATGAAGAGGGCAGTTTCTGCAGGTGGAGCACTGTCAGTCGCTGTCCCACCCTGAATCCCTCCATCACAGGCCTGCCTTGGTTTAAAACATGGGCCCATTCCTCCGCAGAAATAGATATGCAATATGAACAGTAAGAAATGGATATGCAATATGAACAGCAAGAGGTATTGTAGGTATAAGTACGATTAATACAGTAATAAAAAAAACATTCTAGTGCAAATGTTCAGTGGCTGGAGGAAGGTGTGTGGCAGTCAACCCAGGGTGGAGGGTGGAGGGGGGGGGAAGTACAGTCACTGAGGGAGATCAGTGCAGTGAACAATAATTTCCTCTGCTCACTTTTAGGGCAAAGTAGGCTAAATACTAATACTATATTTTATTTATATAGTGCTTTACATGGTAAGCTACTGAAAAGACACCTTACAGTACAACCAGGACATTTAGCACACAAACACAGATACAGCAATAAAACCAACACATAAAACAAAACCAACACATGAAAAATAGTAGTAGTAGACGTTTAGTAGATATTTTTAAATCCTTCCTCATTCCGTCGGTCCGTGATTGTCTGCCCGGCTTTTCTCTCTGTTTAATTACAGCTGCATATTTCTATGACTTTTGTGCAATACCCCCCTGGCCAAGACACATAGAAACACACAGTTACAAACACTGAATAAGACAAGTTAACAAAAACTGAGAGTTTTAGAGACAGTGACCTGACGGAACCTGCCTCTATTTCCTTCATTTTCGATTTAAAACCAGTAAGTTTTAAATCTTTCTGCAACATATTCCATAATGAGGGTGCAGATACATAAAAGCCCCTTTTGCCATTTCTGTCCTACCCGAGAGTACAACACACAGTGGTGAGTCAGAGGTTTACAACTTGTAATGAACCGCATTGAAGCAAGCTAAGCTGAGCTTAGCTTAGCAGAACACTAACAAATTGTAGCACTTAAATTGTACTTATAATGGCTCTTATCTATAACCAGTAGTAAATCGGCATATTTAATGAAATTGCACTTTCTTGTTTTTTGTTCTTCTGAGTGTGTATCCATATGGTTGAAATGCACTTATTGTAAGTCGCTTTGGATAAAAGTGTCAGCTAAATGTAATGTTATCTAATAATACTTAATACAATCAGCATATTTATGAGAGAAAATAACACTCAATGACTTTTAGATCTAATATTAAGGCTCTGGTAGTAACATATTGCTGATTAGTAACATTTAAAGGCTGATTACAGACTACAAGCTGGCCTCCCATTGGCTCCCTGATGCTTCTCTGATGGAAGCCTTAACGATGGTGAATATACAACATGTCAAACCTCATATTCATGCAGGTGTGTTTAAGCTGCTTAAACTCTGTACAGTAACAGACCACATATCTGTGTGGGTTCATTCTCTTGGTGCTTTGCTGACGGTGCTGTACAGAGCAGAAGAATCATCCACAGCTCCTTCACATCTCCGTCTGTGAAAGAACCGTAAACTCACTAAATGAATCATTAACACGTTTAAACAGCAATAAAACAGTGATGATAAAAGCAGAGACGGATCCATATTTAGTAAATATTGTCACAGACTCACTCACTGGCAGCACCAGAACTCCTAAAGTTGACCGTTGTACAGCACTTCCTCCACCTCCTCCTTGTGTCTGGGGGGGCGAGCTGGCCTGATGTTGGAGTAGAGAAGAAGATCCTCCTGGTTTCCGGAGAAGCTCACACTGCAAAGCTGCACTAGTGGGATCTGCTTCAAAGAACAAGTACTTAGTGGATAAGTACATGTATTACTGGACTGTAGTACCAAAACAAAACAGCATCTATTACCAGAATTATTGATGAAATTTAAAATAATAACACAGGGTCGTATATTAGATGCGATTAATGGGGCTGAGATTAATGTGCCGGAAGTTAACAGAAACGAAACAGCTGCTAGCTGCAGTCAGTTAGATTGGAGAAGATGGAGAGAGCTTTTTGCATTGAAACTTAAAACAAAAAGAGGAGCGGCATACAGCGGAGAACTGTGCAGAAGAGTTTCTCCACGGGTCAAACAGAAGGGGGATCAGTGGCAAACGGACCACTTAAAGCATCGCTATGCTAAGCTCGCTGCTAAGTCTACGTTGCACTGCGTGGCACACAGGCTGCAGAGGACTACCAATGTGTCCCTAAAAGTGTTTTGAAAATGTGAAGTCTAAATGTGGGGAGATTGCAACACAACCATGAAATGATGGAGAGTTGAGAGCACAGAAAGGTGAACAAGGACAGCAGGTCGAGTGGATAGTTCAACATATTCCACCTGATGAAATTCTGCCTCCAAGATGATCAAATGTGTGTAGTTGTGTTTCAAATGGCATTAACAGTTAAACAACAGTGTCTATACCCAAATCATTACTTGTTATTTAGATTTAGTCTTTAAAAATAAAACAAGCATTCATTGACAACAACATCATTCATTAAGCGCGATTAATACATTTCAAAAAGAGCGATTAATTTGTACATTTTTTTTAATCTATCAACAGCCCTCATATGTAGTTATATATATTATAATGAATGTTCCAATAGAACTCCACACTGAGCTCGTCCTCCTCACCTCAGCGATGTTGTCTGGTCTCTTTCCAGGGAAAAAGCTTCGTGAGGACCTTTTTCTTCTGGACAGAAGAATGAATAAACAAACAAATGGTCAAATCAAGTGATTCAACGACTGCGTGAATGTAACATCCACATCTGCATTTTATCACAGTGAAGCTGAACCACTTACCTGATCAAAAGTAAGGCAGCGAGGATCATGATCACCAGTAAAATAGCAGATGTGGATGCAACAGCTGCTGTCGACCATGGAGGGCCTTCTTTTCCAACACAGGAAAGAAGACCAATAAAAAATATAACGTATTAAAATATGGAGGGTGGAATGAAGGAGTGACCAACAGAATGAAAATAACATCTTTAACACAGTTTAACAGAATATCTGGGACCTTAAGATCTGCTCTATGCAGATGATGAACTTTAACTCAACACCTAAAAGTACTATAACACTCGAAGCTGACTAGTTAGCATGCTAGCTAATTGTTGTATTGCTAATAGAGCATTCTATTTGTTCCATACTTTCTTACCGAACTGCTCCTTAAATTGATGAACCGAGGGTTCAGGGTTTGAATCTCAGTGGGGTCATAGTGTATCTGCTCAGGTTCACCTTCTATTCCCACAATGCTCTCCTGCTTCACCGAGTGGAGGACAGGAGCGAAAGGCAGTGTTTTGAGTCACTTTTTAAGTTGGGTTGTGGATACAACGTGTGAGAAAATAGACAAATAAGAAGAGGCGGCTGGCCAATAGAGGGATATGGGGCCTGGCCCCACCTTCAGCCACAATTTTTTTAAATTATATTAATAATACATTTTACCCAGCAATATTTATAAAATAAGATATCTGCGCAAAATATCTGCCTTTTCCTGCATGTCCTCTCTGCCTGTTTGCATGGCTCAGCTGGCTGTGGCAGGTCTATGAAGCAGTTTAACCAATTAATGATTGAAAATATAAATAAGCGACATATCACTTAGCCAGTCAGCTCCTTAAATGGATTCAGCCTTGGCCCATTGTTGTTTAGCCACAGGCTGCAAGTTGTCAGGGCTAGTCTTGCGAGTCACCCATTCAACGACATGACAATGGTCAGCACAGAAGGTATTCTTCCAAGAAGCCCCAACTCTAGCTTGATGCTGTCATGCTGAAGCCATATTTTGAATCCCATGCTTGCTTTTTAAATCACTTATTTGGAAACACCAGGACACACATGGACAAGTCACGTTCACCGTCTTGGGGAAAAGTTAACATCGCTACCCAGCATGACAACGAACAAAAGCTCGCGGTGAAGAAACAAAGAGGACGTGGATGGAAGGAGGCACATCCAAAATAATTGTGTGAAGTTTTGTGGGGCTTTAGTCTCAAAAATATATATTTTGTTGCATTAATCTAGGCGACATTAATCTCATAGAGTAATGCATTAATGTTGACAGCCCTAATGTGTATATATATATATATATATATATATATATATATTAGGGCTGTCAACATTAACGTGCTACTCTATGCGATTGATGTGGTCGATATTAATGCGATAAAATATTTTAACGCAGTTAAAGCAACTTTGGTCTTCTGTGGAATAATATATATATATATATATATATATATATTAGGGCTATAATACATAATATATATATATATATATATAATCACTAATGTTAAAGTGATACCTTTTTTTTGCATTGAATCATCCTGGGATGTTTGATGAAATTGATGGCCCTACCAAAAAATGAAAATCAGTGTGATTTACCTGAAAAAGTCATCAGAAATGAGGTGGAGTTACTACGTCCCATCTCGTTCCGGGCTTCACAGTAATAATTCCCACTGTGTTCAGCTCTGAAGTCAGTGATGGTGAAGATCTGTCCTGATGCTCGTGGTGAGTCTTCATGCTCCTTGTACCAGGTGTAGTTAGCTGCTGGGTTAGCATCAGTGCTACAGGTCAGAGTCACTGAATCACCCTCCAGCATCTCAGCAGAGGGACTCGCTGACACAGAGGGACGCTGTGGAACATCTGGAGGAGACGTGTGAACATATTATTACAAGTTATAGTTAAATAAATAGAAGTTCATAACAAAACACTACCTCCCTCGTGATTATGTTGCTTTTCCAGAAGGTTGTGTTTCACTCACATTTGTAGTTATATATATTATAATGAATGTTCCAATAGAACTCCACACTGAGCTCGTCCTCCTCACCTCAGCGATGTTGTCTGGTCTCTTTCCAGGGAAAAAGCTTCGTGAGGACCTTTTTCTTCTGGACAGAAGAATGAATAAACAAACAAATAAATGGTCAAATCAAGTGATTCAACGACTGCGTGAATGTAACATCCACATCTGCATTTTATCACAGTGAAGCTGAACCACTTACCTGATCAAAAGTAAGGCAGCGAGGATCATGATCACCAGTAAAATAGCAGATGTGGATGCAACAGCTGCTGTCGACCATGGACGGCCTTCTTTTCCAACACAGGAAAGAAGACCAATAACAAATATAACGTATTAAAATATGGAGGGTGGAATGAAGGAGTGACCAACAGAATGAAAATAACATCTTTAACACAGTTTAACAGAATATCGGGGACCTTAAGATCTGCTCTATGCAGATGATGAACTTTAACTCAACACCTAAAAGTACTATAACACTCAAAGCTGACTAGTTAGCATGCTAGCTAATTGTTGTATTGCTAATAGAGCATTCTATTCGTTCCATACTTTCTTACCGAACTGCTCCTTAAATTGATGAACCGAGGGTTCAGGGTTTGAATCTCAGTGGGGTCATAGTGTATCTGCTCAGGTTCACCTTCTATTCCCACAATGCTCTCCTGCTTCACCGAGTGGAGGACAGGAGCGAAAGGCAGTGTTTTGGGTCACTTTTTAAGTTGGGTTGTGGATACAACGTGTGAGAAAATAGACAAATGAGAAGAGGCGGCTGGCCAATAGAGGGATATGGGGCCTGGCCCCACCTTCAGCCACAATTTTTTTAAATTATATTAATAATACATTTTACCCAGCAATATTTATAAAATAAGATATCTGCGCAAAATATCTGCCTTTTCCTGCATGTCCTCCCTGCCTGTTTGCATGGCTCAGCTGGCTGTGGCAGGTCTATGAAGCAGTTTAACCAATTAATGATTGAAAATATAAATAAGCGACATATCACTTAGCCAGTCAGCTCCTTAAATGGATTCAGCCTTGACCCATTGTTGTTTAGCCACAGGCTGCAAGTTGTCAGGGCTAGTCTTGCGAGTCACCCGTTCAACGACATGACAATGGTCAGCACAGAAGGTATTCTTCCAAGAAGCCCCAACTCTAGCTTGATGCGGTCATGCTGAAGCCATATTTTGAATCCCATGCTTGCTTTTTAAATCACTTATTTGGAAACACCAGGACACACATGGACAAGTCACGTTCACCGTCTTGGGGAAAGTTAACATCGCTACCCAGCATGACAACAGACAAAAGCTCGCGGTGAAGAAACACAAAGAGGACGTGGATGGAAGGAGGCACATCCAAAATAATTTTGTGAAGTTTTGTGGGGCTTCAGTCTCAAAAATATATATTTTGTTGCATTAATCTAGGCGACATCAATCTCATAGAGTAATGCATTAATGTTGACAGCCCTAATGTATGTATGTATGTACGTACGTACATATATATATATATATATATATATATATTTTAGGGCTGTCAACATTAACGTGCTACTCTATGCGATTGATGTGGTCGATATTAATGCGATAAAATATTTTAACGCAGTTAACGCAACTTTGGTCTTCTGTGGAATAATTATATATATATATATATATATATATATATATATATATAATGTATTCTAGCCCTAATATATAATATATAATCACTAATGTGAAAGTGATACCTTTTTTTTGCATTGAATCATCCTGGGGATGTTTGATGAAATTGATGGCCCTACCAAAAAATGAAAATCAGTGTGATTTACCTGAAAAAGTCATCAGAAATGAGGTGGAGTTACTACGTCCCATCTCGTTCCGGGCTTCACAGTAATAATTCCCACTGTGTTCAGCTCTGAAGTCAGTGATGGTGAAGATCTGTCCTGATGCTCGTGGTGAGTCTTCATGCTCCTTGTACCAGGGTGTAGTTAGCTGCTGGGTTAGCATCAGTGCTCCGGGTCAGAGTCACTGAATCACCCTCCAGCATCTCAGCAGAGGGACTCACTGACACAGAGGGACGCTGTGGAACATCTGGAGGAGACGTGTGAACATATTATTACAAGTTATAGTTAAATAAATAGAAGTTCATAACAAAACACTACCTCAGTAGTGATTATGTTGCTTTTAAAAAGGTTGTGTTTCACTCACATTTCACATTGATAGAGATGAATTCAGACCTCTTCCTCCCCAGCTGGTTCTCAGCTGTACAGAAATACCTTCCAGAATCAGAGGACTGGATGGAGCTGAAGATCAGCTGAGGTTTTTCACTGAGAAGACGAGGGTCTGACGTTCCAGCCTCCTTGTACCAGGTGTAGTTAGCTGCTGGGTTAGCATCAGTGCTACAGGTAAGAGTCAATGAATCGCCCTCCAGCATCTCAGCAGAGGGACTCACTGACACGGAGGGACGCCGTGGACCATCTGGAGGAGACATTAAGAAACATCCTAAAAGGTTAGAAGATGTTAGCGTAGATAGTTGATCATTTGAATTAATACTTGTGTGTCTTTCTCTCAGACTATATCTCTATCTGAAGGAGGCAAGAGTTAACCCTCTCCTCAAGAAACCTACCCTCAACCCTTCTGAAGAAAACAACTACAGACCGGTCTCTCTTCTTCCCTTTTTGTCCAAAACTCTTCAACGTGCGATCTTTAACCAACTTTCTTCCTATCGCCACCATAACAACCTCCTTGACCCCCACCAGTCAGGCTTCAAGGCAGGCCATTCCACAAAGACTGCTCTCCTTGCTGTCTCAGAGCAACTCCACACTGCTAGAGCCGCCCTTCTTTCCTTTGTCCTCATCCTTCTGGACCTCTCCGCTGCATTTGACACAGTCAACCACCAGATCCTCATTTCCTCCCTTCAGAAACTTGGTGTCTCAGGCTTCGCTCACTCCCTTCTCTAGTCCTTCCTCGACGGCCGCACCTACCGGGTAACCTGGCGAGGATCTGTGTTGGAACCTTGTCCTCTTACTACTGGAGTTCCTCAGGGTTCCGTCCTGGGTCCCCTTCTCTTCTCGCCCTACACCAACTATATAAGCACTGTCATTCGCTCGCATGGCTTCTCCTATCACAGCTATGCCAATGACATCCAACTAATTCTCTCCTTCCCTCACTCGGACACCCAGGTGGCGGCACAGATCTCTGCCTGTCCGTCTGACATCTCTCAGTGGATGTCCGCTGACCATCTGAAAATCAACCCCGACAAGACTGAACTACATCTCCTTCAAGGAAATTATTCTCCGGCTCAGGACCTGACTGTTAACTTTGGCAACTCCGTGTTAACGCCCACTTTGACTGCTAGGAACCTCGGCGTGACACTTGACAGCCAACTTTCCCTGACTCCCAACATTACTGCGACAACACGATCTTGTAGATACACGCTCTACAACATCAGGAAAATACGTCCCCTTCTCACTCAGAAGGCAGCGCAGGTACTGATTCAGGCTCTTGTCATCTCCCGCCTGGACTACTGCATCTCCCTCCTGGCAGGTCTCCCTGCTACCGCCATTCGACCTCTGCACTTATATGGAGTCACTTTGGATAAGTGTCAGCTAAATGACATATAATGTAATGTAAATAAATAAAGGTTCATAACAAAACACCATCTTAGTCGTGATTATACTGCTTTTAAAAAGGTTGTGTTTCACTCACATTTCACATTGATAGAGATGAATTCAGACCTCTTCCTCCCCAGCTGGTTCTCAGCTGTACAGAAATACCTTCCAGAATCAGAGGACTGGATGGAGCTGAAGATCAGCTGAGGTTTTTCACTGAGAAGACGAGGGTCTGACGTTCCAGCCTCCTTGTACCAGGTGTAGTTAGCTGCTGGGTTAGCATCAGTGCTACAGGTAAGAGTCAATGAATCGCCCTCCAGCATCTCAGCAGAGGGACTCACTGACACAGAGGGACGCCATGGACCATCTGGAGGAGACATTAAGAAACATCCTAAAAGGTTAGAAGATGTTAGCGTAGATAGTTGATCCTAGATAGAAACCTACCCTCAACCCTTCTGAAGAAAACAACTACAGACCGGTCTCTCTTCTTCCCTTTTTGTCCAAAACTCTTCAACGTGCGATCTTTAACCAACTCTCTTCCTATCGCCACCATAACAACCTCCTTGACCCCCACCAGTCAGGCTTCAAGGCAGGCCATTCCACAAAGACTGCTCTCCTTGCTGTCTCAGAGCAACTCCACACTGCTAGAGCCGCCCTTCTTTCCTTTGTCCTCATCCTTCTGGACCTCTCCGCTGCATTTGACACAGTCAAACACCAGATCCTCATTTCCTCTCTTCAGGAACTTGGTGTCTCAGGCTTCGCTCACTCCCTTCTCTCGTCCTTCCTCGACGGCCGCACCTACCGGGTAACCTGGCCAGGACCTGTGTTGGAACCTTGTCCTCTTACTACTGGAGTTCCTCAGGGTTCCGTCCTGGGTCCCCTTCTCTTCTCGCCCTACACCAACAATATATGCACTGTCATTCGCTCGCATGGCTTCTCCTATCACAGCTATGCCAATGACATCCAACTAATTCTCTCCTTCCCTCACTCGGACACCCAGGTGGCGGCGCGGATCTCGGCCTGTCTAAATGACATCTCTCAGTGGATGTCCGCCCACCATCTGAAAATCAACCCCGACAAGACTGAACTACTTCTCTTTCCTGGAAAAGATTCTCCGACCCAGGACTTGATGGTCAACTTTGGCAACTCTGTGTTAACGCCCACTTTAACCGCTAGGAACCTCGGCGTCACACTCGACAGCCAACTCTCCCTGACTCCCAACATCACTGCGACAACACGATCCTGTGGATACACTCTCTACAACATCAGGAGAATACGCCCCCTTCTCACTCAGAAGGCAGTGCAGGTACTTATTCAAGCTCTTCTCATCTCATGCCTGGACTACTGCAACTCGCTCCTGGCAGGTCTCCCTGCCACCGCCATTCGACCTTTGCAGCTCATCCAGAATGCAGCAGCTCGACTGGTCTTTAACCTTCCTAAATTCTCCCACACTACTCCACTCCTCCGCTCTCTTCACTGGCTACCGGTGGCCGCCCGCATCAGGTTCAAAACATTGGTGCTCACGTACCATGCTGTGAATGGATCGGGTCCAGCTTACATCCAGGACATGGTCAAACCCTACATCCCAACCCGCACTCTCCGCTCTGCATCTGCTAAACTGCTCGTCCCTCCCTCACTGAGAGCAAAACACTCGACTAGATCTCGACTCTTCGCTGTCCTTGCTCCGAAATGGTGGAACGAGCTCTCTGAAGACACCAGGGCCGCAGAGAGCCTTCACATCTTCCGCCGCAAACTAAAGACACACCTCTTCAGACTCTACCTCGACTAAAAGACGAGCACTTAAATTGTACTTATAACACCACTCATCTATAGCAAATTGTAAATTGGCTTGAGGAAATTGCACTTCCTTGTTTCTTGTTCTTCTGAGTTCTTTGGATAAAAGCGTCAGCTAAATGACATGTAATGTAATGTATTATTCATCACAGCGGCTGTCACAGGTGAGACTCCTGCAGGTGTAAAGTGACAATAAGCAGCCTTTAATCCTTTGTAATGTTGATATCTGTCCCGCCCTAATTGTGTTCACCTGTTTTCCCCCTGTCTCCTCCCACACCAGGTGTTCCCTGTTTGTCAATTATCCCTTGGGCATATAACCTGTGTCTTCTCCCTGTTCTTGTTGCCAGTTCGTCTTGTGTGTTTCACCAGGTCTCACCAACGTTGTATCCTCGTAGTTCCCAGTTGATTCTAGAGATCCCCCGTGTACTGACCCCTGCCTGCCTCCGACAACGACACTGCCTGCCCGAATTCCTCTTCATTTAAAGACATTCAATATTCCTCACATCTGCGTTTGGGTCTCTGTCTGAGCTGTGATAATATCTCCACACATTATTCTCTTTAGATGCTGCTTGTGTCCTTAGCTGAGTCTGTCCTCTCACTTCTAGTTGTTGTAGGAGTTATTGATTGTTTCCTCCACCAGCTGACACGTCACTTCTACTTATGTTCTGGAATAATTCACTTGAGTCTTTATGAAAATCACATTATTCTGTCTGCTGATGGTTTATATTTGTGTTTCTATTAATAAGAGAATGACATAAATAAATATCTGTCTCCTTTAACATTTAGACTCCAGTGTGTTTACAGCTGTGATTAGAATCATATTGTTGTGTCAGTGTGTGAGTGACTCTTCTACACGTAGACTGCCGGGGATTGAACCAGCAACCCTCTGGTCAGTGGACCATGGCTCCACCTCCTGAGGAACGTTGTGCTTCATCTTTTTGATGCCTCTAGTTTACATGCAGCGGTCTGGTGCCTCCATGTGAGATGTTGTTGAAGCTCCACAGGCCGACACAGTGGAGTGAACTTACACACTGCAGGAGAACCGTTATCCCAAGATCCTCTTAAATAACAGGAATATCTGTCTGTAGAACCAGAGGAGACTCGAAGAGAAGATCCTATCTTGATGATCTCTCCATTTTTGGACCAGTCGTATTCAGCACGATCAGACAGAACACAGCTGCTGTGACACGTCAGCTCCAACCAGGTAGAATCTGATCTTCTCACCTGCACCTGGAGACCTGAATCTGTGAATATTATTTATTAAAGTGTCAACATTCACAGAAGACATTTATACTCTAGTTTTCTAGATGTTGAACATTTGTAGATGATTAATATGTGAATTAAAATGTTACCTGTGACAGACAAAGTGACTCCAGGTGAACCAGTATATTTCTCTCCTGATTGTTTGTCCTGATTGTGAATTTGTACTCAGCTGAGTCGCTCTCACTCACGTCTGTGATGATCAGAGGGCAATTGGTACCATAACATCCATACCCCACACGGTCTGAATACTCAGAGTCTTTTCTCAGATCCACAGGTTCACCATCTTTCTCTTTAGTGAACCACAATATGTTTTTCATATCCCGGCGATCTAATCCAGATGGGTGTGTGAAGGTACAGTAAATTCCCACTACTGATCCTTTTGCAGCACAGACCTCAGTCTGATCGTAATTCACTCCCCATCCATCCTGACTCTGTATCACTGTAACACAGCACATCAGGAACCACAGTCACACTCAGAACAACATCACAGGACACACTCTCATTGGTAGTTTACTGAAGAGAAAAGATATTATGAGAAATATGAAAATCATTGAGTTTATAGAAAGTAATGAAAGAGTCCACGATGTCCACATGGACTCTGCAGCTGGAAGGAACAGCGACGTATTGAACCATGTCAATATAAATGTAGAAGTACAGTACCTTGTACAGAGAGAAGGAAGACGACTAATCCACCGGCTGATGGACTCATAGCTGCTCCTCTGTGTTCAATCAGCAGATCAGAAACTCTTTATTCAGTAAGTCACCAGAAACACGTCTACATTAAAGAGGAGGCTGATGTCTCTGAGGTCAGCTCGTCTCTTCTGGAGTTGGTAACAAGCTGCTGTTCATCCCCAGCAGAGCTTCCTTCCTCTTTACGTCATTAGTGAGCATGAGCTGCAGAACAAGAAGCTGCTTTGATGTTATCGTCGTCCTCCGGCTAAAAGAAGAGTTCATAAACCTGTTAGCTGCTCCTCTGTGCTCCTTTTAAACTTACTTTAACACAGAAACAAAAAAGTTACTCGTTTAAAAACAAAACACGAGAAAAACGAAACAACGAAGCAGCTGAACCGGAAGTACGTAACTTTTCACAGTAAAAGTCAACGCGATGGAACGTTTGAATGGTAGAAATTCGTCCGTGATGCCCGGTGCCTGATATATAAAGGTACATGTCTATGATGAGGATCATATGCATGTATAAAGGTACATGTCTATGATGAGGATCATATGCATGTATAAAGGTACATGTCTATGATGAGGATCATATGCATATATAAAGGTACATGATGAGGATCATATGCATGTATAAAGGTACATGTCTATGATGAGGATCATATGTGTGACGACTCGAAGAGACTGAAGATTAACTTCCTGTTTTATTTTTGTAACCACGGCACTTCCTGTATCTAGTTTCCCCCCACAGCTGAGTTTAGTTTGTAATCACCCCCACCTGTATTTAAGCCTCAGTTCCCCACTTGTCTGTGTCAGGTTATCTTTTGTCGTTCCTAGAAGTACATGTTTGTTGTTAAATTCCCAGTGCTGTTTTTGTAATCTTGTTTCTACTTTGTTGCCAGGCTCTCTTCCTTTTTGTTTTCTACAAGAGCGTGAGGATTCCGCCTTTGCCTGTGCCCCTTTGTTTTGCATTAGTTTACTCTCCTAGTAAAAGATTCCAAACCCTTGAAAGAATTTTCTGTTGCCTTATTGCTCTGCACCTGAGTCGAAGTCCTGACCCCTCACAGCATAACCTGACCATGACAGACTCAGCAGAGCCACTTCAAGCCGTGATCCAGAACCAGGGCCAACGGCTCCACCACCACGAGCACCTACTAAACTCCCTCGCCGCCTCTATGCAGGAGCTTCATGCCAATCAGGGGCGTTTCCAGTCATCCCTGGAGGACATGATCAGCTCACTCTCACACCAGGCACAAGAGGGGTAGGGGCTGCTGAC